AGTTGGTTTGGTGCGAGTTGGCATTGGTGCAAGTTAGCATTGGTGCGAGTTGGTCTGGTGCGAGTTGGTTTTGGTGCGAGTTGACCTGTGACCTTGCGGTGATTTGCGGTAACACTCCTTTCAAAGCGGTCAAAACTACAACCACAGCTCCTGGTGTTGAGGGACTGTGCTAGAACGAACACGAATCTACGCGAAGGAAAACTTGGTCTGCTCCACCCACCACCGCCCAACTAGGGTGTTATTTCACGTTATTTTGTTTAGAAGCGGGTGATCATTTATCAATCTTTTGGTTTAGAAGTGTGTAGCATTTATTTACTTTTTCACAGGTCCTTATATTCAAAGCAAAATACCGGAAAAGGCTGAATAAAATGCATTGCCCGGATGCGCTCACTGGTTGCGAAAGTTGCTTGTGTTTAGAAGTGGATATATAAATAGAAAAAAATGGTTTAGAACTAAGTATATGGTTTACGCGATGTGAGCTTCACACCCTTACCCACTTAATGGGGAAGTACCCCACCCCGGGCTGCTCCCCATTTCGCGTTCTGTCGTGTTAAATTTTATGTTCAAGAAACGAATTTACATAGTTTGTTGAATATTAAATTATGCTAAATGGTTCACTTATTCTAAGTCGCTGTCACAAAAACACACGTTTTTGGGACTAATTTGTTATTAAAAAAAGTAATATTTATCTATTGACGAGTTATTGTACTTGCTCCATTCATAGTGCATCTGCCCTGATTATTTGTATTTGTTTGTTATGTTTCAATAAAAAATAAAATTACTCTTTCCGCCAAAATTATAATTTAGGACAATGAACTTGTTTTAGAAACCACGCTTGTTGCTAGCACATTGTGAAAATACGCTTGATATTGTTTCAATACGAGCGTCACCCGTGACAATCCTGACAACGCCCATGATGAGTAGTCGTACGAGTGATATGACACAAAACACCTAAAATGGCTTTTTAGCGAAAATTAATTCCAGCTAAATTAAAGTGTTTTTACAGTACAATGACTATATCATATATATTTTAATAATAGTGTTACGGCATGGGCGAATTCATCGTCGTGTCACACTTGTCTGGTAACTTGAAAGGCCTCGATAAGTACAATGAGGGCGTGTAAAGATGGGTCGTTTATAGATGATTTGTTTTTACACCGTGCATACCAGCATTTTGTCGGAAAACCTTATATCGTTCAAACATGGACCCTACTTACGTGCGTTGAGCCTTAGTATTCCCGATTAAATTCTGGTATTTATGTTTTTATTAGCGGGCACAAACGAGCTTTGTGAGTGACTCGCAATTTCCCAGGAAAAATCTTTATCAATGTTACGACGGTTGACGCGACCTCCAATAATATGTGTACAGATCAACAAATTAGCTATAGCAAGTACCGAGACAAAAAATAATTATTCCATGATCACGCAGTACCGGGCGGATTGAGATTGTCACAAATTGTAGCAAATCGTTTTCATAACGTTAGATCATTTAATAGCGCCAAGAAGAAAGTTCCGCACTATATTGCAATATTCATAGAGACTTTTCTAGGGAGTATGCTAACTCCCTTGCGCCCGCTGTAAGGCAAATGCGTTTCATTTTAATTTAACGTCTTTTCATGGCAGTCACGGGTGAGATTAATGAAAAATGTAAAGTCAACCTTAATTTAATTCATTCCGAGCACAGAGAATGAAAGAGGGTTTAAACAAATCCTTCGCAGGTCGCCTAGCAACCGATGAAGCTTTCCGGAGCTCTCTTGTTACTAAAACTCTTCTGTCGTCGTGACGTCGTGTCACTCAGTGAAGTGCTGACGTATTTCCTACATTGGATGGATTTCAACAAGTGGGCGTGTTTAGAAGAATCGCCTCACGTTTGAAAACTCCCTACAGTGGGGCGACCACACCATTAAAAGGATGGGAGTCAAATTGGGCAATCATTATCGTGCTAGTGTATAGGACCGAAAGGAATTGGTGAGTAACATGTAAACATGTCTCGTTTAGATCTTTTTTCTGTCCGAATTCTCTTCAAAACTCCGTCCGTCTCCGAGTTCAGAGCGTATTTAATTTGTCCATCCCCGTTTTTTAAAATGAGTTCAAACAGCCAAATAAGTGTCTTCTCGTATTTACTAAATAAACACTGGCGATTAATAATACCGGCATGCTATCACAACGGTTACTCAGAATAAAAGTATTGCCTGTACTATATTTATACGATTTAGTGTTCAGACAACCATGGAGGTAAAAAGAGAACAAAGCCGCGGTCTCCCGCAGTTTGGCGTTTATTGAACAGCCGCAACTTATCACTCATATGCGTTTGGAATCCTAGTCTTGACGGCGACCTACTGCTGAATTTCATCGATGCGCACTCTGTTGGATTTGGTGGCGACTCTGAAACCTCAACGAAAAGTATGCATTGATCTATTTATCATTCGCTTCAGTTTACATTTTTTTGCTAGCTATTGGAACGGCAATTTGACAAGCTCCCACGCCCATTTTGTAGTAACATTTTTCACAAGTTTATTCGCATCGCACAAGTTATCGCTATCAAAGTGCACGCGGATTGTAGGAAATCTGTGGATCAAGTCAAGAGCAGAGATTTTTTAGTTTAGCGATTGACCATTAGAAACTCGTTCAATTAAGTTATTGTCGGTATCTACTGGGGGCGTCACAACACACACCAATTATGGCCATGTATAGCGAGTTAGGCAGATACCCCCTAGACGTATTTATAAAAAAACAAATAATTAAATATTACAGTCGGGCCATGAATTCTAATAATGCGTTACTCAAGGAAGCTTTTGTGGTTAACCAAAACATTAAAAGTAAATGGTATCTAGAAGTGACATCATTATTAAACAATATCCAACAATATCATTCAGTTAACAACTGTGATAAACTAACCTCGGCACAAATGAAACAAATTGATTTGGGCATCAAGGATTTATTTCTAACAAGATGGAAAGGTGAGGTCCATAATGATAACCGCACCAAAGCAAATGAGAAAAACAAACCAAGAACATATCGGCTAATCAAATCAGATTTAAAACTTGAGCCATATTTAGTTAAGCTAAAAAAATTTGAACTGCGTAGTGTGCTTACCAAATTTCGTCTTAGTGACCATAGTCTCAAAATTGAAATGGGTCGTCATAAAAAAATCCCACTAAACAACAGGTTTGTGACATGTGTACAAAGGTCTAATTGAAGATGAATGCATTTTCTGCTGGATGCAACAAATATAATGAGTTGCGTGCCAACTGTTC